ACGGAATCACTGTTGAGAAGGCGGAATGAAAATCACTGAAAAGCAGGTCGGCTTTGATGCCCAATATTATTATTATCGAAAACAGCCAGCCATTCAAATTATTAAATAATGTAATGCTAAAATTTAAAAGACTACCCATGCGGATGAACATGTTCTTCATCATATTCGATCTGTGTACAGCAGAAAACAAATAACCTAGATATGAGCCGGTTTAGAAACGATGGCCTTGAAAAATGTGTTTCTTTACGTGAACCGAGAGAAAGCTGAAAAACCTCGCCCTCGTCGCCGGCATTCGACGAAAGTGCCTAATGACACTGCCAGGCGCAGGGCAAGACGGTCACCGTGAGGTCAGACGTCAAGGCCGATAAAGGTTCGTTTGGTTTTTGCCTCAGACTCCGCCGCCATGGTCACGGCGTGAAAGTCGTCTCCGCCTGAGCGACTGCTCAGTGGTTCTAGTTCTAGCATTGACGCCGGTGCGTAAGAGCTGTGCATCGCCGTCGTTCTGCTGACCGTCGTCGAACACCGAACACAGAACCATGAAATCGCTGCACCTTCAAAGCCTCATGCTTGTGGCGGTCATCGGCACGTGTGTCGGCAGGCTGCGCATCAAGGGTCGGTTGCAATGCGGAAGAGAAAGAGAAAAGCACGCCCCCATTAAACTGTACGGCCAAAGTGAGTTTGACGGTACTCTTCGCGTTTCAGCATCGCTTCTACTGTTTGTGCTTGTGGTTGGTTGCAGCGTCCAAGTGCCAACAGATGATCGCCGAGACGCAGACGAAACACAACGGAGTTTACGACCTCGTTGTGTCCAACGTGACCTTCTCGCAGTACTCCAACTACTTTCTCACCGTCAATTACAGCTGTGATGCGAAGAGCGTAAGTACTAGCAGTAAGAGTCGTGCCTGTCGTGCTAAGTCGTGTTCCGTAGTCCGGAAGAATGCTGTGGATCCTGTTTCTGCCGAAAGATCTGCCAGACCACAAGCTGTTTTTCGTTGGAGCCTGGAATTTGCGGGTCAGACCCGGGCCTCTGACGTTGAACCCTGACATCGTGTCTGAATGCAGTGAGGGCGACGTTCATCCGGTACCGAAAACGAAAGAGACGACGGATAAGAATAATACGAAGGGCGCGAAGGGCACCAAGGAGACTAAAGAGTCACCGAAGAAGGTCGGCAAAAGAGAAGGGCCGAAATCCAAAAAGGAAAGCAGTAAAAACAGTAACGACACCTCTGCCGATGATTATGTTCAGAAGACGTAAACTTCGTGTTAATGCTGTAAATATTTGGATTTACTATCTACACTGATAAAACGGTTCATCTCATTGGGTACTAGAATATATTAACCATGGTTACCCTAATTATATCATCAAGATTTCTTGATATCAGGTCATGATCATTGCTTCATATCATTTGTCAAACATCGTCCGTACTCTTCGTCTGTTTTATCCGTAAGTCTCCATTTTCATGAGGATAGACCTCATGATAAAAAAACATTTATCTTCTCTCATTTATAACTATTGTGGACCGTGGATGACAATTCTTCCTTTCGGATTAGTGGTCATAGTGTCATTTCAGAACTGTTTTAAAAGGAACTAAAGTTGGAAGGTCGAACATGCATGCGATCTCATGAAGTGAACATTTCTGATAATCTTCTTGCCATGGCTATAATGGCGGGCATTATAACATTAGCTATCAGTGTCTTACTTTAAAGGCAGATCTTACAGCAGGAACGTGGTGAGCATGGGGTGTAGTCACCTGTTTCCTCCCTATGTAATGCCACTCATTTACCTACCTCATAACCAAGAAATGAGAGCTGCTTGACAAGAGTTCGAACCCCGGTTTTTTCAGCTCCCAGGTAGATGGAACTGACTGAGTAACAGCTTTGAGGAGCATGAGCTCCTGTCGTCCTCACATATCACTCTATCAGCCTACTACTTCAAGATTCTTGACAGACCATAACGGTTATTTTGGTGACCCAATGGCGTGCATCTCTGCTCAAATCCTTTTGCCATACAGTCCTGTAGTTTGCTCGTTGTTCTTTCTTCGTTCCTGTGACAATGAGGCTGGATGATGGACAGTGTCAAAAATCAACATATTTTTAAACTCTACCCTAAGCGCAAAAACTTGCACAATATTCATTACAGTTTCTCACCTTTTCATTGTGCCTCCTACCGTCCTTCTTCAACCTTAGATCGTCACGCATTGCTATGCAAGTCAAACAACAGTGTATTTTCAAATTAATGGAAAACCTCCCAAAACCAGATTGGCTTTAAAGTAGCATTTAAAATTTTTATTTTGACTGCCATATATTGTTTTAGCATATCATAACGGGAGGAATAACTTTCGAAACTCGACTTCCACTGAGTTTGAAACTGTCTACTTCACAAGATATATGTCTTAAACATGGAAATATAATAATAAGACTTTAGGCATGTTTCTACTAACTGGAAACTCCCATCGTGCAAGATTTTGCAGCGTAATTCCCCGCCCCCTTCTTCATGCTTGCTTAGGAGGCAATTAAACATGCCACGACTCCATGGC